GAAATGAAACAAAAACGGATTTCCAAAATTTCGTTTTTTTTCAAATATTTCGAAAACTAATCATGTTAGCCTTGATTTTTTAGAGGCATAATGTTAGTCCCCTGATTATGCAACTTTACCCCCATTTAAGCTGCTTCGTATCTTTTACCGTTTCCGAGATCCCTGTAGTGAGCAAATGTTGTGTGCAAATTTGTAACAGCCTGTATATTGCTTGTTTTTTATTTGTGTTCTTACCACTTAGTCTGTTTTCAATTCTATTACGCCAAAGGAGTATGCTAGGATTAAAACGTCAAATGTGCTAATGGCTTTAAACAGGTTATTCAAGTTACGTTTTAACTCGAGAAGCAGGTACAATATCTATTTTTAACGTCGCTATAAGCCTTGTTCTATTGTGGAACGGTTTATTGTTTTGATTAAAGCTTTAATATTTCTATAATTCATACTAGTCCACTTCATGTATTTTGGTTACTTATCTCTTCAGTTTGTTCGTGTTTCCTTTTTTATTTTTCTACAACGTTTTTATATTTAATTTTTCTGTGTACCATAATATGTATACGAAGCATATCCATAAAGTAAGAGTACTCGATTCTTTAAAAATCAAAACGGCAGTGTATGAAACATTTACATATGCAGAAAGGTACATCAAACACTATTTTTCAACATATTCACCTTCAAGGGCGCCTTTCCATTTGCAAGAAACCAAATTACCCTTCTCACCTTGTAGCTGAGAGATTGATTCAGAGTAGCGGCACTCATTTCAACAAGCCACTACAACAACAGTTCTCAACTGACTGAGACAAATGCATTCTACTCCCAACACCTTGGCCTTGAAGCAGTGTTGTCAACTTTGTCGAAAACAAATACCACAGACTGTCTCAATACTCTTACTTTGTGGACATGCCTCGTATTGTTAAAAGTTGCTTCTGTTGTTTTTAAACAATTCCTACAATAACTGTATGCATACATTTCTATATCTTCCATTTGCATTAAGGGGTTTATTTTTTACTACACCCATTCTTCTAGGGCAATGGCCTTGGCACGCCGCATTGTACCTGTCCAGGGGCATTCAACTTAGGTATATATGCGGGGGCACACTCATATCAGAACGGCACATTGTCACCGCGGCCCACTGTGTCACCACACCTCAGACCAACAGAATCGTGAACCCAACCAACTTGTTGATATATCTAGGCAAGTTTTGAAATTTAAAAAATACATTTAATCGCATACGTCACATATTTTATTTTAGGTAAACACAAACTGATATCGTTTGGAACAGAAGTACAAGACAGGGGCGTATTAGATATATTTATTCATCCAGAATACAATCACACTGTATATTATAACGACATAGCCGTTTTGAAACTTACAAAACCAGTAACCATAACAAACTACGTAAGGCCTTGCTGTCTGTGGGAAGGAGATACAAATTTGGACAATGTTCTTCATCAGGAAGGTAGATATTCCAAGACGAACGATAATTTTAATGGAAATAATGGTGTTTAATTTTTTAGGGACAGTTGTAGGCTGGGGCTTTGACGAAAACCGAGAACTATCGGACAAGTTGATGCAAGCTAAAATGCCTATAGTTTCCACTGTGGACTGTATTTTCTCCAATAGAGATTTCTTCTCTCGATTCACGTCGGAAAAAAACTTTTGTGCTGGATTTAGAAATGGTAAATATCAGGGTGTAACTTTAAGTGAGAGAGGTCAGTTTTTTTATGGATAATAATGTTCCCCAGGATAAAAAATATTAAAAATGTGAATAGGCATACGATACTAATTGCAATTAACACTAATTTAAAATTTTTGTTGACCTGATCTGGTAGATTTGAAGTATTTAATGAAAAGTGTTTGTTTTTTAAAGCACTGAGTTTAGTCCACTGTTGTGATATGACAACAGGGCGCTAGGCAGGCAAAATTAATTCAGCGAAACAAGAATGGCTGAATTCATTTTTCAATTTTTAAAGTGTATCAGTTTAAGAGGTGTTTGTGTGAAGTATTAGTTTTGTGTAATGTTTTACAGTTTAGTAACGAAAGGTGTGTTTGTGTATCTTTAATATCAAATTTTTGTGTGGTATTATGAAAAAATAGGTATAGATAGGTATAAAAAAAGCCAAGATTTCACAACAGTGTATGCTACTGGTCTTAACTGGGAATGTACTCGTGGTTGTTTGATGTTACAATATCTTGTACAGTGGCAGGACATGAAAATTACGAAAAAAGGTTTAGAAAAAGACAAAATTCAGTTTTTTGGAAAATAAACTTATGACGTGTTCTTTTTATATGTAAAAAGTAACTCCCGTATATTTATGACCCTCATTCAAAGTAAAATCCTGTACCGGGAGGTTTATTACGATGGAGTGTCAAAAGTGAAGGGTGTTTGTTGTGTCCAAATTTAAGAATATTAGTTTTTTTTTTTGTTATAAAAGACCTCATTTTTTATATACATGGCATGAAAGTTAAAAAAAATGTTCCTAAACATTTTCTGAAAAGATATTAAAATAAAATTTTATGTACATAGTACATGAATAAAATGACGGCATTTGAACAATTTTCGTAAAATCATTTTAATATTCTAAGTCAACGATGTTCCGAATGGATATTCTTAAATTTGGGCAAAGTAAATGATTCTTCATTTTTAACATGTACATTAGGATGGCCCAAAAAAAAACCGAATATTTTTTTCGTGTCTCTTGTGAAAGTATGTTAGTTTATCATGTTTTAAGAGCCCCCTCAAAAAAAAATTTTTTTAGAGGTTGCTCAAGTATTTTAAAAATTTCCAAAATCGTCAAAAATAGATTTTTTTTCTCTTTATTTTATCATTTCCTCGGTTGAAACAAATCTGTATTCTGAAAATTTCAAATCGATAAATATCAATGAACTAATAATTTTTTTTATTGAATTTGATGAACAAAAGAATAGAAATAAATCACACTTAAATTTTAAAAAATTAAAAAATTATAAATATTTGATAGTGCGGTAGTAAATTTTGCCTCTAGAAATTTTTTAAGTGTCTCGTGATTTATTTATATTCTTTTGTTCATCAAATTCAGTAAAAAAAATTATTAGTTCCTTGATATTTATTTTTAGAGGTCGCTCGAAAACATTTTAGGTACACTACTTTTAAAGTTAAAATAATTATGCGTGACCTTTAGAAATAAAAATATCGATTTGAAATTTTCAGAATCGAGATTTTTTTCAACCTAGAAAATGATAAAATAACTAGAAAAAAAATTAAAAAAAAATTAAATGTGACAATTTTGGAAATTTAAAAAAATCTTGAGCGACCTCTAAAAAACCGAATATTTTTTTTGTGTCTCTTGTGAAAGTATGTTAGTTTATCATGTTTTAAGAGCCCCCTCAAAAAAAAATTTTTTTAGAGGTCGCTCAATATTTTTTAAAATTTCCAAAATCGTCATATTGATTTTTTTTTCTCTTTATTTTATCATTTCCTAGGTTGAAAAAAATCTGTATTCTGAAAATTTCAAATCGATAAATATCAATGAACTAATAATTTTTTTTTATTGGATTTGATGNAGGTCGCTCAATATTTTTTAAAATTTCCAAAATCGTCATATTGATTTTTTTTTCTCTTTATTTTATCATTTCCTAGGTTGAAAAAAATCTGTATTCTGAAAATTTCAAATCGATAAATATCAATGAACTAATAATTTTTTTTTATTGGATTTGATGAACAAAAGAATAGAAATAGGTAAATCACGACACTTAAATTTTAAAAAATTAAAAAATTATAAATATTTGATACAGTGCGGTAGTAAATTTTGCCTCTAGAAATTTTTTAAGTGTCTCGTGATTTATTTTTATTCTTTTGTTCATCAAATTCAGTAAAAAAAAATTATTAGTTCGTTGATATTTATTTTTAGAGGTCGCTCGAAAACATTTTAGGTACACTACTTTTAAAGTTAAAATAATTATGCGTGACCTTTAGAAATTAAAATATTGATTTGAAATTTTCAGAATCGAGATTTTTTTCAACCTAGAAAATGATAA